AGGAAGTGGGGTGAGGATGGCATCTTGAGGACCCCAACCATTAAGGGGAGGAAGGAGGAAGGAGAAAGGCAGCCAGAGGGAGCCAGGCAGTGACACCGGGATGGGAATTGTTAAGGCCAGGCTCTGGGACTGGTTTTCCTGGGTCTGAGTCCCAGCTTTGTCACTTAGTTCAGAACCTTGAGCTAGGTCTTAACCTCTCGTAAGCCTCAATTTCCTCATCTTTAAAAATAGGGATTAGAATTCGTAAGCTTGTTGCAAGAATTAAAAGGGGATGGCTTGTGTGAGGCCTTTACCAACTGCACATAGTAAGCGCGGTAAATGTTGGCTATTATCAGTAGTATGAGTAGGAGGAAACCAAAAGAGTACAAACCATGGGCACAAAGGAAGTTGTTCGTGTCTTGTCTACGTTCTCAATACCAACTAGAATCAAAGGTTGATTGTATGCTGCAGATCATGAACTCGGTGGCAGAAACACGCTGACTTAAACGTGGAGAAGAGGACTTGGCTGTCTAATTTTAAGCCCTGGCTTTGCTCTTTACTCACTGTGTGACCCCGGATAAGTCACTTGTCCTCTCTCAGCCTAAGCTATTAAATAGGATAATGGATAGAAATCACCTAACCTGTTCCTAGTACCTCGTAGGCCCTCAATAAGTATCTGTTTCTCTCTCTTCTTCTCTAGAACCCAAATCTCCTGGCTCTTCCAAGCACATGATTCATTAGGATCCTGTACGCTATGGTTGGCTCCACCTGAAGGCATCGTTACTCTCTACGGCAGTGGTTCTCAACCTTCCTCACGCCGCGGCCCTTTAATACAGCTCCTCACGTTGTGGTGACCCCCAACCATAACATTATTTTCGTTGCTACTTCATAACTGTAATTTTGCTACTGTTATGAATCGCAATGTAAATATCTGATATGCAGGATGTATTTTCATTGACACAAATTGAACATAATTAAAGCATAGTGATTCATCACAAAAACAATATGTAATTATATATGTGTTTTCCGATGGTCTTAGGTGACTCCTGTGAAAGGGTTGTTCGACCCCCAAAGGGGTCTCGACCCACAGGTTGAGAACCGCTGCTCTATGGGCTCCTCTGTGTTTCCAGAGCCCCCACCTCTCTCCTCTGATCCCAGCATTCACCTGCCACAGAGCAAAGCTGCTCAGATTCCAGTGTGCACAGCACCACCGGGGCTCTGGTTGAAACGCAGCCTCTGATTCAGCAGGTCCTACACGGGTAAGGACTTCAGTGAGGCTGGTGCTGCAGGTCCTCTGTCCTCCATGCAGAGGAGCCCCGCAGTGACCGCTCCACCTCCCTGCTGACTCATGAGCATCTCTGGGGCTGGTCTCTTTATCTCACTCATCTCTGTGTCCCCTCCATGGTAAGTGCCCTAAACGGATGTTGAAAAAAAACTAAACAACCATGGAGAAAACTAAACAACCACAGAGAAAACTATTTTCTGGCTAAGTAAATACAAGCAGGGTAGCATCTTGTTTTGTCTGTGAGCTGCAGCCCTCCTGGTTCATTCCAAAGTCGTCCTCTGGAATTGGCAATGTGAGGACAATGTGGTAGAAGGGGCCCGAAACCTGGAACCTGGAACCCTGGGTTTGAACTTTGACCCTTTCATTCACCAACCGGTGGTCCTGGGGAAGTCACCAAGCTCTCATCCATAAAGTGAGGGAGATAATAACCCAACGATAGCTAAAACATGCTTTATAAGCTGTAAAATGCTCCAGGCAAGGGATTATTATTACAGCAGCTATTTTGAGGACAACAGCAACTTTTCATTTCCCTAGAGCCTGAGGTTGCTTGTGATGGACTGGAACACACCAGGGGTCTAGTTGGAAATGGGGGCTGCAGCAGGTGGGTCTGAGGTCCTACACCGGCAGGGCCAGTGACCATGAGAGTTGAGGAGGGAAGGCTTCCTGGAAGAGGCTAGCAGAAGTGAGCAAACCAGGATGGTCTGAGGGCACAGCCAGGATGCTGGCCTGACTGGAAGGCAGGCAAAGAAGTCAGAGTTCTCTGATGGGCATGGGGCAGACTCCTGACTGAGATTGTAGGAAGCAAGGCTGTGCCAGGAGGAGATGCGGAGGGAAAAACATCCAGTAACTACATCTGTCCCCTGTAACCCAGAGCTGAGTAACCCACTCAGGCCAGGGCTTACCTACTGGAGCTCACCCGTCATTTTCTACCCTTGACTATAGCCAGCTTGCCACTAACACAAGCCTCAGGCATCTGAGGACACAGGCAAAACAAGGCACGGTCCTGCCTCAGGAAACTCATCGTTTACTGAGGGCAACACAGAAATGGTGACAGTATGAGGCAGCAGGTAAGAGTGGCCAATCGTGCTCCTATCTCCACCTCAGCCAATTCCCGTCATCCACACTCACCTCCAGATGTTTCCTGATGCCACCCCCCCTTCCTGGGATGCCCCATCCCCTTCCCGTCCCCTCTACTCAGCAAGTGCTAACTCATGCTGAAAGGGGTTCAGTCTTCGGTGAGGGCTCCCCACCTCTTCCCAACCCCAGCCTGTGCTTTATGCACATGCTCTTGGTAATTACATTACCTAGTGACACTTCTGTCCCTCTACTGAAGAGCTAATCACGACCTGCACGATTACTTATACTGAGCTTTCTTATGTCTTATCTCCGCAGTCAGATTATAGTAATAATCACTGAAATAGTGTTCTGCAGTTTACAAAATGCCTTCACACGTATTATTTAAATTAACCCCCACAATAAAGTATTATCTTTGTTTTACAATAAAGAAACGGGGCTTAGAAAGGTTAGACAACTTGCCTGAGGCCATACAGCCTATCTAAATGCCCAGCCATAAAACTCAGACTTCTTCTAGCTCCAATGCCAGTACTCTGCCCAGTAGTCAGAGGCAACACAAGGCGGTGCTTAAAGGCTGGAACCACTTCCAGCTGTGTGACTTTGGGCAGGTTACTTAACCTCTCTGGGCCTCAATTTCCTCCTGGAAAATGTGGCTGATACCCACCTAATAGGTTCTTGTAGAGATTAAAGAAGGTAATACAATAAAGTACGAAGAACAGTGCCAAACACTAATTAGTTACAATTAACACTACACCTTGGCTGATTCTCATGGTCTCTTAACTCATTAAAGATTTTTTTCTAACTTATTTTTATATCTCATAATACATTTGATAGGTAATCATTAAACAAAATAAATTTTTGCAGGTTGACTAATGCTAAGTTTTAGGATTGTTCTCTCCCTCTCTCTCTTTTTTCACTTTCCAACCCCCTAATAGAAAAACTCCCTTTTACTGCTCCAGACTACCTCCTCACTCCCACACTATCCCCCAACACTAGGACACATTTAGCCATTTACAAGTGTTCCACAGAATAATCTAGACTCTCTCAAGGGTAGAAACTTTCACAAACCTAATTTTCATCACTTTAGATAATGGGTCAAAATTCTATTTCTCTATTGCTCCAGTTTTTTACTTATTTGAGACTCTAGAACGAATGGGTTATCACAAAATAACACCTATTTGTTTTCCTTTTCCATCTTAAAAAAAGAAGAAGAAAAAGAAGAATTAGAAGAAGGATATCCACTGTTTCCTGAGGCAAGAAGCCTCATGTGACCAGGCAGCTAGTCGAGGCAGTCACACCCACAGCAAACGGGCATAGAAAGCTTCCTTCTTTTCAGCAGTCCAGTCCACAAAGCCAGAGAATGAGCCACAAACCCAGCTGGACCCTGGGAGGCAGAAACGAATGGCGATCTCTCCCATCCTGCCTGGGGTAGGAGGACCCAGGGAGGGGACACTCCCTACTTTACATCACCCAGACACACCTTCCGTGGCCAGAGGTGGCTGGAAAGGAGAGAGGATGAAGTCCCTGGGGTGGAAAGCTTCCAGTCTTTGCAAGAGTCCACAGACAGAACACTCAGTCGGGTCCTCACAATCTTTTCTACCTAAAAGTTTGGAGGGGAAAGCAGAAGAGAGCAGGGGAACCAGCCTCTGGCAGTGGAAGACCAGCTGGCTCTTCAAAGGTTCCACTCCGAGAGGAGGGAGGACCAATCTGCCCATACAGCTTTGGCACTGGGATTAAAAGAAGGGCTGCACCCTTTGAACTAGAGTTTGCATACAAACGAACTGGTGAACACTATAAACACATCAGCTTGATTCAGTCAAATCAATACACCAGGCATTAAAACTCTGAGGTAAAAATGGATTGTGGCTTTTTGTTGATGATAGAGGCATTTTGGCCCCCAGCCCTGGTTAGGCTGGACCAACAGGGCAGTCTGCCTATTAGCTGTCAGGCACCTCTTGGGGGATAAAATCAAAACCCCAAGTCAGGTCTCTGGGCACCCCTGGGCAGCTGGCTCATCCTACCAGCACCTCCATTCCTGCCCCTGGCCGCCCCCTCCTCCAGCCCCCGGTCACTTTCCAAGCTCGGCCACACTTCACATTTCCTACATTCCTTCTCTCCGCTCAGACCCCTGCGGCCCAGCCTCCGAGGGCCGACAGCTGGGGGTGGTGTGAGCCAAGCAGGAGGCACGAGGAAGGGAGCACTAGGGGTGGGGGGATGTCAATGCAACTGAGAAGCGATGGAGAGGGAAGGAGACGCTCCCGACCCTTCACATCTCCAACCCAGCACACACTTGCGTCTCCAAGTGGCTCCCCAAGGCACTCCCCTGACTTAGGGCACTCCTTCCAGCCGCCGCTTTTCGGTTCTTCCCCCTGTCGCCGCCCCGGTGACCCGGCACGGCCCCGCCGGGACCTCCCCTCTGCTGCGCCGCACGGGTCCCGCTAGCTCCTCGGAGCCGCCCTGCCCTTTCCCCCAGACCAGCGGGGATGCCCGGTCCCGGTCCCCAACTTTCCCGGGTCGCCTGGACCCGCGCACGAGATGCCCCCCTCTCCCGGCCCCGTCCTCCCCTGGGCCTGGAAGACCCCTACTTCCTTCAAAGCCCCCACGGCTCACCGCGCTCTCGGGATGCCCCCGCCACTCACGCCCCGGGATCCCCCGTCCTCACCTGAGTCCGCTCGAAACTCTCCCGTTCCGCCGCCTCCATCCCCGCTCCGACCCCGCGCCGGCCCAGCACTTTGGGCAGGGGGTTGGGCACCTGCTTCATGGAGCTGGCCATCCGGTCCATGTTGCCTCGCGGAGCGGAGTCTGGGGCCCTCGACCGCCCCGGGATCCCCACGGCGCCGTCCGCCCCGCCCGACCCGCCGGGATCCGGCGCTAACGGGACGGCTCCCGCCTCTCATTGGCTGGGAGCGCTGCTACTCTCCGAGGCCCCGCCCCTCCGGAGGCTTCCCCGCCCGCCCCGGCCTTTCCGAAGCCCCGGCGCGCCCTGCCCGCCCGAGCACTGCGGCCCGAGACGCGCGGTGACCGGCCCGGAGGTCTGCCCATCATTGGGTCCCACAGCCCCCGGCGGGGGCGGGGCGGGGCGGGGGCGGAGCCTGGGGAGGCCCTGACCTGCCCGGCCCGCCTCTCCCCTGCCTTTGCACCGCTCTCCGCGGCCCCCTCCCGCGCCCCAGGCCCTGACCCTTCGTAAGCCGCTCTCTCCTTCGGCCCCCGGCGCTGCGAGGTCCCCGCGCGGTGGGCGGAGGTCACCCTGGCCGGGAGTCGGGCTCCCGCAGGACTCGGGGCTCGCCTGGGAATACCCTGTTTACTTCTCTCGGTCCGGGGACCTGCGATCGCGGGACGGACCGGCTTGGCGGCTGGAGCCCCACGAAGCGCTGCCCCCAGGCCCGGCTCCCGCAGGATGGGTCAGCATCTGCCAGACCTGGTCACCTTGGGGGGCAATTCCCACCCAGTTTCCTCGGCTTCCTCCCTCGTCCTGCTCCTGCTCTGACTCCCTGCCGATCCCCTTTGTAGGGACCGCCGCAGCCCCTGGAGCGCTGGGCTGGGTCAGTGGGAACCTCCCGCACCTTCTTCCCAAACCTCTCCTCATCGGGACTTGGCCTGAACGTATTGTTGGTAGAACCCCCTGTGGACACGTTCCTTAGTTCTGGGCCACCCCTCCCGTCCTACTCAGTCGTCAGCCAAGGTACCGACAGGCGGAGGGAAATGTGATGCTAAATGAGATGCTGAAGAAAGAGATCTCCGTAAATTTTGGTGTTGGGGGGAGGGAGGTTTGAAACTCAAAGTAAAGAAAGGCATTAAGCCCTGGCCGAGCGGCTGAGTTGGTTGAAGCGTCGTCTCTTATACCAAAAGGTGGCGGGTTCAACTCCCGGCTAGGGCACATACCTGGGTTCTGGGGTTGGGTCCCAGTGGGGCTCCTAGGCTCCTAGGCTCGTATGGGAGGCAACGGATCAATATTCTTGATGTTTTCCTCTTCCTAAAAATCAATGGAAATATATCCTCTGGTGAGGATTAAATTTTTTAAAAAAAGAAAGAAAGACAATTTTTAACCAAAAAAAAAACAACAGAAAAAAAATGTTAACTAAGAGCTTTGGATAAAAATTCACATATTCGGTAAAGAAGTGAAAGAGTGGGTGGGCCTTTGCAGGCAGGCTCTTGCTCAGACCTGTGCTTTGCATTGTGTGGATGGGATCTTGGCGGGAGAGGGAAAGGAGGGAACCAATGGGGAGACTCCAGCAATAGGTGAGAGACCATGAGGGCCTGCACTAGAATGGAGAGAGGAAAGTTCTGTCCTGTAGAGGTTAGTGAATAGGCTTGGACAAAAGGAATTCTGGGAGAGAGGAGGCAGATCATCATGGGAACAGAATTTCTGTAAGAGGAAGGATTGAAGGGTGGCTATGTGATGGGGGGAATTGCCTTGCACAGCAAGCACACTGGTTTTACCTTTTCTTTTCTTTCTTTCTTTTTAATATATTTTTTATTGATTTCAGAGAGGAAGAGAGAGAGAGAAACATCAATGATGAGGATCATTGATCGGCTGCCTCCTACATGCCCCCCACTGGGATCGAGCCCGCAACCCAGGCATGTGCCCTTGACCAGAATCGAACCGGGACCCTTCAGTCCGCAGGCCGACCTTCTATCCACTGAGCCAAACTGGCTAGGGCTCACCTTTTCTTAAATTGTGTCCACATGGGAGACTTTGGAGTGGCTCCCCATGGGTTCCTCTGGTAAGAGGTTCACTGTCACCTAGTTTTTGAGGCTTTGTTTCTGGGCATGTGGAAATGACACGGAGTAGAGGAGCATGATAGGGGTGCATGTTGATGAAGAAGAGATGACTTTAATTCTAGGCACAGCAATGTCAACATAGGCTTGGCCAAAAAGCACATGATGGGTAGAAACAGAGGCACCTAGGGAGAAGGAATTGAGGGCTGGACCCTAGGACAGTGATGGCGAGCCTTTTGAGCTCGGCGTGTCAGCATTTTGAAAAACCCTAACTTAACTCTGGTGCCGTGTCACATATAGAAATTTTTTGATATTTGCAACCATAGTAAAACAAAGATGTATATTTTTGATATTTATTTTATATATTTAAATGCCATTTAACAAAGAAAAATCAACCCAAAAAAATGAGTTCACGTGTCACCTCTGACACGCGTGTCATAGGTTCGCCATCACTGCCCTAGGAGGTGCTATCAGTAAATTGTGCCCTGTTGGGAGATAAAGACAATAGATGAGGATCATGTATGGGGGTGTTTGGAGGTCATGAGGATGTATCAGTCAGAGCTGCAGAAGGAAAGGAATTGCACCCTGGAAGGGCTGACTGAGAGCTGAAGAAGGAACTTGTGCAAAGGTGTGACCTAGAATAAGGGACCAGCCAAGGAGGGTGAAGCACTAACAGTGAAGAACAGTGGGAAGCTGTCACCAGTACCTGAAAGGACAGGCAGGGGAGCTATATTGGAACCAGTTGGGAGCTCTAGTCACAGGAAAGGAGGCACCCGACAAGAGCTGTGGCCTGAGGTAAAACACCAGTCACTGGGAGATCTTACTCTCTATCTCTTCCATCTTCTGATTTCCTAATAGTGCCTCCCACTGGCCAAACCCAGCTGGCAGCCCAAGGCAAGGGTGATGCTTTACCCCTTCTTCCAGATATGGAGAAGAGTGGAAACTAGATGGGGAAGGGGGGGGGGTCTCAGCACAGGGGCCTCAGAGGAATATACCTACAAGGAAAATAGACAAGATTCATAATAATACCTCTGTGTGCCAATTCTTGATCCTGCACCCACCCCATGTCTGTACCCAGCTACAGAGTGTTTATGATCCTTTGCCCAAAGTTTATGGCTTCAATAAACAAGGGCCCTTTAAACAGGGATTAAGGGATCGGTCTACTTCTTATTAGAATAAACCAGAATAGGAATTTATAGTTTGGAGCACCCTGTGGAAAAGATTCAATCAAGTTACCTTCCTCTGTGAAACTCAGAGTGAGTTAAAAATAAGGATTTTCCACCTGTCGCAGCAGCAAAACCCTTTGTTAAGGGTTGAGGGAAACCACTCTCATGCTATACAAACTGCAGGACTCTACTAGTTTCCTTTAGCTCTTACTGTCTCTCCCAGCAATGTTGGGACCACTTGTTTTAAACCTTGTAGAGATACTGGTTTTTGGACATGTAATCCTAATATCTGGGACATTCATAGGGGAATAAGTGTGACATCTGCCTCTCTGTAACTGGTGAAATCTGTCCCGCCCCAGACCTAGTTTGGATCTGATTTAGTATCTGGTATGAGGATATATAAGCTGACCACACTATTCCTAACATGTTCCTTGAGCCCAATTATGCATGTTTTAATAGTTTGAATGAGATGTCATTAGTATACATTAAGCTGCATATAAATTATTTAAAATATACAATATGATGAGTTTTGACATATATGTACACCCATAAAACCATCACTACAATCAAGATAATGAACATATTCATCATCCCCAAAGGTTCCCTCATGCCCTTTTGTAATTCATTCTTACCTCCTCCCAAACCCCTGTGCCTAGGCAACTACTGATCTACTTTCTGCCACCATACATTAGTTGCATTTTCTAGAATTTTATATAAGTGGAATCATACAGGATGTGTTCTTTTTTTGTTTGGCTTTTTCCACTAAGAATAGTTATTTTGAAATATATGTACGTTGTCACTTGTATCAATAGTTTGTTCCTTTAATTGCTGAATAGTATTCCAGTATATGGATAGCATGCAATTTATTTATCCATTAACCTGCTGATGGACATTGGATTCTTTCCAGTTTTTAACTATTACCAAAAAAAGCTTTGTGTGAACATATGCTTTTATTTATCTTGGGTAAATACTGTGTATGGTAGATGTATGGTTAACTTTTTAAAATTGCTTTCCAAAATGGTTATGCCATTTTACATTCCCACCATCAGTGTGTGAGAGTTCCAGTTGCTTCACATCCTTGTCAACACTTGTTATGGTTGGTCTTTTTATTTTAATCATTTAAGTGAGTGTATGGTGGTATCTCATTGGTATTTAAATTTACATTTCCGTAATCACTAATGATGTTACTATCTTTTCAGATGCTTATTTGACATCTGTATATTCTCTTTGATAAAGTATTTAAATCTTTTGCACATTAAAAAAAATTTTAATGATAGACTTATAGAAAACTAGAGGCCCAGAGCACGAAATTCATGCATGGGGGGGATTGTCCCTCAGCCCGGCCTGTGCCCTCGGGGGATGTCCAACTGCCAATTTAGGCCCAATCCCCGGGGATCAGGCCTACACCAGCAGTCGGACATCCCTCTCACAATTCAAGACGCTGCATGCACAAGTGACCATACTTTTCATACAGGTGAAAGGCATCTTGCTGTTGTATGGGCAGCTACATTTTTTTGCCCTGATTATAAAAAGTAGTACATAACATGATCCTTCTGAGGCAGTAGTACCATTTTCCCCATCTTATGGGTAGAAAAACTGAAGGAGAGAGAAGTTAAGTAATTGGCTTTGTCACACAGTTATAAGTGTCAGAATCAGGGCTGACCACAAAATGTGCAAGCCAGAATCCAGGCATGTCATTGCTGCATCATCCTATTTTTTCAGTGTTAGAGTAGCCTTGCCTGGTTTTAATTTTTAAATCTAAGAGACTGTTCCCAATATATAGGGTAGGTCCCTAGGCTTGGCTGGCGATCAGGGCAGATCTGTGGGGTGACTGGTGGGCGGGGCAATTGGGGGCCCCCCTGCTAGCACCCGCCTTGGCTAGCTATCTGGCACTGCCCGCTGGCCAGACCCAGCCCCCTGATCACCGCTGCCATTGGTCACCTCCCTAGTGGTCA